AGACTTACCTTTATGATAAATCATATAGTTAGACTTAGGTTTCCTGAGCTATTCCTTAGTTCTGCTGCTATAGGCTTAAAAGTGTCAGCCTCACGGACAGAAACCGAAGTTGGTTCCACAAGAGGGGAGCTTGATAACTGAATGCTCTGTCTCCCATTCTACTAGAAACTCCAGGAACCACAAGTAAACCTGCAGTCTGAGAGCAAAGTGCTCTGTTAGGAAGGTATGGAATAATAAGATCTTTAATATACGATGGAGCTTGGTTGTTAACAGCTTTGTATGTTAGGAGGAATATTTTAAATTCTATTCTGAATTTGACAGGGAGCCAGTGGAGAGAAGCTAAAACTGGAGAAATATGATCTCTCCTTCCAACTCTCATTAAAACTCTAGCAGCAGCATTTTGGATTAACTGAAGACTTCTTAAAGAGTTTTTTGGATGTCCAGATAATAAAGAATTACAGTAATCCAGTCTAGACAAGATAAATGCATGAATCAGTTTTTCTGTATCATTTTTGGACAAAATATTTCTAATTTTAGTGATATTACGCAGGTGGAAGACGGCGGTCCTGGTAACATTTTTAATGTGGGGGTTAAAAGACATGTCCTGATCAAAAATAACACCAAGGTTCTTTACATTAGAACTGGAGGCCAGATTAATGCCATCCAGAGGAGCTGAAAGGCTGCAAAGTTGATCCCTGAGATGTTCAGGTGCAAGAACCATAACCTCTGTCTTATCTGAGTTTAGAAGCAGAAAGTTAAGAGTCATCCATGTTTTTATGTCTGTAAGACATGCTTGTAGTTTAAGTAACTGGTTAGATTTATCAGGTTTCATGGATAAATATAACTGAGTATCATCAGCATAACAATGGAAATTTAACCCATGCTGTAAAAGGAAGGCATTTTGTATGATGGAAGATTTAACAGGATTTCCACAACTACGYACAGAGAAACAATGACGAAATCGCACTCAGTTTCCAAGACGACAACATCTGTGGTCCTAATGGGGATTAAAGAACTGCGTTCTGTTCAGCTCTCCATCCAAGCTGAGAATGAAGATGATCTGAAAGATTTAAACGTTGGAAAAACACTGGTGTTGTGGAGAAGTCTCTGAGAGCCAAGAAGCCATCAGGAATAGAAGTTTATGAGCTGAAACCCAGCTGGTCTTAAATCAAAGACTCTCTTGGACCAGAGAAACTGAACTGAGAGAGAGAGAGAGAGAGCCAGAGGTTTGACTCAGTAATCCCCCAATTCTCCAGTTCTTAATCAATTCTGTTTCTTTTTCTTTCAAATCCAGCAGATTGTTATCATGTGTTTGAATATTGAATTGTAAAGAGTCAAAAATAAATGAATGTGCAAAACAAATGTTTACATATTGTATGAGACTCATCCAGAATAGGCAGGAAGAGGTAACCTAACCCAGCTGGGTCATATAGACCTGAAGGTGATCACTGTGAATCCATTTTACTCCAAACTAAGGTGTTAGCTAAGATTACTGTCATCGTATTAGAAATAAAACCAGTAAACAAACCTTTAAAACCTCTTTTCAATGTAAACGCACGTGAAAACCATTTCTGTTCCGTTCCTTCTCCATTCAGTCCCACTTATATTTTTACCTGTGTTATCCTGATTTCCTTCCTACATGTGTTTCTTGCTGTGTCCTGGCAGAGGGTGAAGTCAGGACGGGAGAACAGCGCGAGAGGTCGGCGAGAAGGCAGAGAGGGCAGCGCAGGGAGCGTCGGTGAGTCCCAGCCACCAAAAACTCACAGGTTTTATTTGCTGTCTGCATTTCCAACATGGYCTTTAACCAACAGTTCATTAACTGTGCTCTGAAAACATGAGAGAGATGACATAAACATTTATATTCTAATCTTCATTGTCCAGGTTGTCATTGTAAATCCAAGTGGTCAGCTATCTGATTTTACTCATACTAGCACCTGTTGATACTTTTCAGGTTTTTTCTTCCTGGCTTCATCAGTATTTATTTCTGAACTAAATCGTTACATATCACAGTTCCTTCTGTTATCCAGGTTAAAAAATAAGTCATTTTAGGATGACAGTAATCCCCTGTGGTCTTGGCCCCCCTAGGACTAGCTGTTAGTTTGGTGATAGGCTTGGTCGGTATAACAGTATTTTATGTATACTGCTGTATCAAAACATGGTGACTGTTTATAAAAATTACAACGGTATTAGTCTCATGAGGTGGTGCGTCAAATTTTTATTGTGAATTCCACTAAGAAAACTGGGACTTACACAGTCTACACTGTAAAAAATAATTTGTAAGATTTACTAGAGAAAATCCTGTAAACGATTTGCACTAACGTTTAAGTAAATTTAAATGCTACAAATTCATGTAATACATTATCTAGTAAAAGTTATTAAGAATATAGTTAAAGATTTGTGAATAAATCAGGTAAATTTTACTTAATTTGCTCAGTTAAATCTTGTAACATACACTTGATCAAGTTAAGTAAAATTTACCTGATTTATTCACAAATCTTTAACTATATTATTAATAACTTTTACTAGAAAATGATGAGTAAATATTACTTGAATTTGTAGCATTTAAATTTACTTACCAAATGTTAGTGCAAATTGTTACGAGGATTCTCTCTAGTAAATCATACACGTTCTTTATAACAGTGCACATCAGTGTTTCTCCTAGGAAATTGGTCTTGGGGGTGTAGGAGTAAAAAGAGTAGGCTCTTTCAGAAGAGGCACAGTAAAGTTTCTGACATGACTTCTGACCACTGCTGCTCTCAGATTGAGTGACAGGCAGCATCAGAGCAACAGGGTTTGTTCTCCACGCCTCTCTTTGGCTGTATAWGCATGTAAATTCTAACCATTACTCCATTAAATATAATTGACTCAATACTCCACAGACCAAACACCCTCTACCCCCTGGTAATACTGTATACTGCAGTAAGAAAAATGATCAATACCACCCAACCATAATGATAATTCAATCAAAATGAATCTATTTCTCCAAACTGAGGTCATTTAAAGAGCTATCTACAACAGGTAAGATATTAATTGTTCTTAAACTTTCCACAGGACTCTGTACCAAAAGATCTGACTCATCGCTTTGAGGTGTTGCCAGCTTTAGTTTTACCACTAGATGTCACTAAATTGCACACACTGACATTTGTAAAAAGAAAAAAAAGTTTGTACATTTAGTCTGATGTTTTTTCTCTTTCTTTTGTTCCTCATTTCTCTCTGTCCCGTCTCATTCACCTGCTCTGCAGCCGCCGTCTCTTCGTCTGTCCTCAGCTGTCCTAAGAAGCCCATCGTTTTGGGTACATTTGCTTTGCTCCTTTCTCACTGAGGCCACAGCAGACGCCCACACAGCTTTGCACTTCTCCTTCAGCACAAATCCACAACAGACACGTAGACGGGCTCAGCCTGTGGAAAACTGGCCCGTCAACAAATTACAAATACAGTCCAGACGAGCTAAAGTGGCTGGTAAACACACGAGAGCTGGTTTCTGCTGTACRGCAGGATCCAGTCGGGGACAAACGTCTGCGGCTTCTTTCTGCCAGGAAGTCCTGATAAATTCAATAAAAGAACCTCTGAGTTTTTATTATCTCTTTGCTTTTTTACTGCAGTTACKGGCTTTTTTATTCACTCTGTAAACTTATTTGTGTAACGGAACCACAGACCTAGTTATTATTTTATGACTTAAGATAGCAGCTCAGAATATCATTTCAGAGCATCATTTCTCATCAACTTTCTGTGTACAGAACCTGCTTCTGTTGTACTGTTCATGTTTTCTTCTTCTACTTTTTGTCTTTTTGCTTCTCTGGCTCATCTTTCATCTGTTCAGAATCTCAGCCTGAGTCTAAACAGTTCAGTCCGCTGTCAGACTCAGAGAGAGGTATGTAATGACACAGATTATTATTATTATTATTTTTACTAACCTGTGTAAATGTCAGACATTCTGACAGAGAGTTGTGATCTTATACTGAGTGAAATGTTTGCTCTGAGGAGCCTCAGACAAACTTCTTCCAGACGTGAGGCAACCTCGAGCGCAGATTAAATTTTTCCATCTTTTCTGTAGCTTCTGTGTTTTTGCAGCTCTGCTGGGCTCAAAATGTTTTCTTTAATATTTATGTTACTTTGTCATGTGGACGTGGCAAAACCAATGTGACAGAAATATGTCACTACTGACCCAGAGACTGTGTTATTTATTGCCACTTGTTACTAACAGGTGGACAGTGATGTTTCTGCCTGTGTCAGTGTGTTAGCAAAACTTCTCATAAATCACTTGTTGAATTGTAATAAAGCTCTTTCAATGTAATCATTGAATCAACATCTACAATAATAGTGTTAACCTGATACAAGATGGCCACCACACCTCGGCAAACACAAAAAAGGCTGTTAGTTGTACAAATATTGAACTTCAGTTTGGTGTAGTTGTAGCTGAGTGTCTTCATTAAAGGGATCCCTGATTGACTGTAACATTAGACTTTATTTGATAAACATATATTTTAACTGTAAAATAAAGACTAAAAATGGGACAATATCTGATGATCGACTCTTTTAAATGAAACCAGAGAGCGTTGACAGAGAGGAGAAGGTAGAAATGACTCAGCCTGGAACTGAAAATATGGATGGAGGACAACAGAGCTGCTTCATGGAAGAAGAACCTCAGATTAGCTTGTTAGCTTTAGCGTTAGCCCCAAACACTATATTGCCTTATATGTATTAGCTCGGTGCTAGCGTGACATACAAGCTAAACTGTTGTCCTCCATCCATATTTTCAGTTCCAGGCTGAGTCATTTCTACCTTCTCCTCTCTGTCAACGCTCTCTGGTTTCATTTAAAAGAGTCGATCATCAGATATTGTCCAAGATTAACCTTCAGGGTTGATATAGCTCGCTAGTCTCGCACCGAGGACCTATCCACGTCATCATTTACCCAGAATGCTTTGTATGTAAATAAAATGGCCCCATCCGTGTAGTGTATCTTTTAACTTTTAGTTTAAAAATTATAAAAACTGAACATCCTACAGTATTTTTACAGTTAAATATGTGTTTATTAAATAAAGTCTAATGTTACAACTAATCATGGATCCCTTTAACACATATTCTGAGTTCTAACAGATCTAACTGTGTTTAGATACATTCCTGATTGAAGCTGGGTTTGTCCACCTTAAAGCCTCTTTTATTTTTAGCAGCAAGCATAGTTGAAAAATCTCCCAGTTATTACGCAACATGAAAAATAAAAGTTTCTCAGCCTGGGACAAAGGAAAGGTTGTGTTTCCAGGAGCGCTTTCAGCTGCCTGTCAGTTTGTGAGGCCTCATGTGAGATATCTGGGACTGTGGGAGAAGGTAGAATATCARGCCTCCTTCCTGTTTTTCAGCTTCCAGCTGTTGTCCTTTTCAGTTTCCACGGCTACCTGGCAGCCAGATGTGGATTCTGGGGCCTGTAAGCATTTCTGTCTTTTAGTTGGCTCTGTCAGCTCTTCATCTGAGCCTGAAACACACAAACACACTCCACCATATTCATCACATCCTGTGGAAAGTACCAGCTGACAGTAAAGCCCTGTCATGTCCAGTTAAAGTATCCTTCAAGTGAAAAAAAAAGGATCCAATGTAAAACTAATAACATGATCTAAAATACATTGACTTGATTCCTCAGGGTTGTGTTTTCCCCATCTGTTTGAACAACAGAGGTCAGATATGTTGGACATGAAACCTGACAGGAAAGTGCTGAGAGTCACACTAACCTCAGCCTAACACCAGGTTTCTCTGGTGGAAATGCAGACTTCTGTGTGAAACCTTCATGTAAAATCAACTTTTTTGAGTTTTATATCATGTTATAATGTTATCCTCTCATAAAAAACATGCTCAAAGCCTTGCTCTGACTCATTCATGCATGTTTGAGAAATCCTGCAGCGTTTTTAGGAAGCCGTGCTGAGGAGCAAAACGACAGGTGGGGACCAGAAACGCCCCTGGGACGTGTCCTTTAAGATGAACTTCCTCATAGCAGAGCACCCGCCCCCCCTCCCACCTCGCACACCCCGCCCATGACCACTGATTTCATTACATGCGTTCCGGCTCCGGTCCGCTCCGCTCCAGTCCGACCTCCGCAGCAAATACGCACCCATTATAATCAATGAGAGTGTATTTACAATGGCTGCGCAGGGCGGCGGTGAGCGGACGGCGATCCGTCAAAATTAGAACAGATCCTATTAATGCCGGATGCCTGAGCAGCGCCGGAGTTAATTTTTAAAAGGATCCCCAATTAGTTGTAACATTAGACTTTATATGATAAACATATACTTTAACTGTAAAATAAAGACTGTAAAAATACTGTAGGATGTTCAGTTTTTATAATTTTTAAACTAAAAGTTTAAAATAAAAGTTTAAAC